GTGCTATCAGCTATCCCTTCCCTCCCTTGCCCCTCCCTCTCTTCCTGTACCCTCAGGGAATCATTACTCCCATTATGATTTCTGTAGGGTTATCTATCTTGGCTATCATGCATGGAATGCTCTTAATTATACAAATGAACATATGCAGGTCTAACAAGATTAATGAGGTAAAACAAAGACCATAATAGTAAGGGGGAGACATATTTAAAAAAACTAGATGATAGTTAAATGTCATTCATCAGTACTATACTGCACCCTGGATATATCATCCTTTCCATGTGACTCTTCTGACAGGGTTTGTCCAAGTATCTTACAGGAGGATTTGGGGTCTGTACTTTGTCCACGCTCCTTCACATCAATTTGATTGCTTGTTTTAAAACTTCTGATACCTATCCCTATCGACACCTCATGGTCACACAGGCTGGTGTCCTTATTCCATGTGGGTTTTGTGGCTTCCCTGCTAGATGGCCGCTTGTTTAACTCTGAGCCTATAAGACCCCAGACACTATATGTTTTAATAGCCAGTCGCCATCAGCTTTCTCCACCAATTAGCTTATGCACCCATTTTGTCTTTAGTGATTGTGTTGGGAAGGTGAGCATCATACAGTGCCCATATCATACAATTTAATCATTCAATCTTATTAAGAAGAGTTGTACAATCATCACCACAATCAATTTTAGAACATTTTCTTCTCTTACTCATTATTGTTAGTGGCCCCATTCCCCGCCCCCCCAAACCTCCCCTGATGTGCCCTTAGGTCATTATTTTATTTAGTTTCCCAATTCTACAACTTCCACTTGTATAATCCAGTGTCACTGATTGCCCTCTTTGTGCCATACAGTCAATATCGCTATCCTTTCCCAAATTAGTCTACCACCATTGACATACACTCAATGGCCCCTATGGGACAACCCTTTCCCTTCGCCTCTGGCAACCATTGGTCAAGTTTGGTTCTGAATAGCCTTCTCTGACCCACTTAGATGACCTCGTCTTGACAGGGGAAACAAAATGGGTCGTGAGTCATCTCATGTGGCTTTTGCAGCCAAAGTATCTAACACCCACCAAATGACCTTTTCCTGCATGAGTCTGGTAAGAGGGTGGGGGAAGGTGCTGATGAGATTAACCTGTGAGTCACTGCAAACAGGATCCCCTGGTGGGCCATCGCGCTGTGTATAAAACGAGCCCTTTGAGGAGCAGGAAGAAGGATCTCCTCACCACCAAAAGCCAAGAGAGCAGTGCATCTTCTAGACCTGAACAGTGAACCTCCTGGATCCAGAAGACAGCTGGACCGTTAGGGGAGCAGCAGCAGAACCAGCATGGAACTGAGTGACAGCTGTCCCGACACAGGGAGTGCTTTTGTGCAGGAGGCTGACTTGCAGAGGGGATGCCCCCAGGCACTTAATTCAGGGAGTTGCATTTGCTGACCCACGTAGTGGGGACCTTTGGTTTGAGGCTTCCAGGGGAGCAGTATGACCCTTTGGGCATTGATTGGTGGACCTGGAGCTTTTTTTCCCCTTTACTTTTATAAAAATCATTTGATTGGGGGCTCATACAACTCTTTTCACAATCCATCCATCCGTGTGTCAAGTACATTTGTACATATGTTGCCATCATCATTTTCAAAACCTTTTCTTTCTACTTGAGCCCCTGATATCAGCTCATTTTCTCCCTCCCTCACCCTCCCTCATGAACCCTTGATAATCTATACATTTTTTTTTCATGTCTTACACAGAGCGCTATCTCCCTTCATCCATCTTTCTGTCGTCAGTCCCGGTGGGAGGGGGTCATAGTAGATCATTGTGATTGGTTCCCCCTTTCTCCCCGCACCTTCTCCTTCTCCTCCTTGTATTGCT